ACTTATAACAATTCGCATACATACTGCGTTGAAATCACTATAAAATCAATCGAGAATCATCAATTTTCGTATATCGTCAACTTTGACATGCTCGAATTAACATAAATGTATATCGACTGGAATAACATGAAGATAAAATGATAATTTACATGTAAAAATACATAATGTAGAAAACAGAAAGTGAAATGTACATTAAGACGAGGAACGTAAATTGAAAATTTCAGATTGTTTTTGTCGTTGATTCGACGCTTTTTGTATTAACAAAAGTCAACGGAAACAATGATATAGTGATACTCGCTGATCTCGGATTCTACTTACAAGTTCGATGCCTTCTCGGCGTTTTACCGAATGATTCGTATTCGATAATCTCACGCGAGCAAAGCACGCTGTTAACTTGTGCGTCAGGCAACGGGGATCGAGGTTTCGTTGGTAACGAACAAAACCAAGTGAAAGAATCGTCAGCCATTTTTCTAGGCGGTAGATGGGAGCGAGCTGGGTCACGCGAGGTTTGTCTCCTGCTCGCCCCATCCTTCGCTATCGCATTCGCTTTCCGACGCAGAATCACTGTCACTGAATTCAACGGCGACACGTCGCGCCAATATGGACGCAACGTCGTTCAATGCGTTCACACGCTCTACTTCCTTCTGTTCGATTTTCTCCACCTTGCGCAATTTTATTCCTGAAAACAAATGAATGCATTCTTAGCTAAGTTTTCTAATTAACTAGGCATGACAATGAAAACTTTAAAATGCAAAGAAATATCTTTTTACCACGATCCATCGTGGGTAGGACGTGAAACAGAGTTAAATTCTGATTGGTCCAATAATAGGATAATTACCGTCTCTAATTGCTTTAAGTAGATCGTTTCTCGGATCGACGAGGGGGATGTTCGGATTAACGGGCTTCCTCAATTGGCCGTCCACGCTGTTCTTCACGGGTTTCAGGGGTTTCAATTTGGGTGGATTGTTCGCTATCATTTTAGCAATGTCGCCGTTAGTTAATGGCACCGGAGGCGATGGTCCGTTAGTAACAGGCGGCGGCGGAGGCGGCGGTGGCGGAGGTGGAATATTAGAAGGCGGGGAAATAGGTCTAGGCGGTGTCGGATCGGGTGTCGGAGGTGGAGGCGGCAGATCTTGAGGAGCAGCGGGATCTGTTTCGTCTGTTCCTATCTGTGTCGAATGATTCGGTGGTGTGGGCGTCGAGTGGTGACTGGGTAGTGGACTGTTCGAACGACTTCCGTTCCTATTCAATAGATGAGATGGTATTGAACCTGAAAATTAATCACGTGGTTATTATTGAATCAACTTAATTAATTGTATGTATACTACGTGGTAAAACTGTAAGACTATTCGGAAAACTACAGTTCTCGTATAAGTGTTAAATTCGTGTCATACCAAGTGTAATTTTGCGTATTTCTGTGTGTAGATGTATGAGTTGAAGTCTCATTGAACACTTGGAAGACGTTTTAAGTCAGAATATTATATACATATTATTAACCCATTCGAAGTTAGTCGTACATTTATATCTTATATTTGATCTATCTTTTATGTTACTTGTGATACCATTGATGACATATGATTAAAAACGTCGAATTTAGCGACTTAAAGTTGGAACAAGGGATTGGTTGTTAATTAAATTCAGTCAAATTTAAAAGCTCACTGATTCCCGACCACCTTATAATTAAATTCTTAATTCGAATGGGTACATCAAGATTTAGAGAGAGACACTCTTCCAAAATTTAAATTATTATTCGGAATTGCGCGCTTTTTTAAATATACAGTAGTTACAAGAAGTATTTGTGCGTGATTACGAATATCAGAATAACATTAGACATTTTCTAAACTAATTCAATATTTTATAAATGTATTTTTACTTGAGATTCTTAAATATTTCCTTATGAAGAATAATTATAAAAAAATGGAATGCACAAATAATAAATAAATAAAGTTCAATAAAATAAATTCTCTTATGAACATCTGTTTTTGGGCATAAAAATATTTCCATTAATAATGTATATAAAACACCACGTTAGAATTTGTAGATACGCGCAAATACTTTCTGTAGACACTGTAAATACTGATGTAATTACCATTCATGGGAGGAGGAGACATAGTTTCACCGGGAGGCGGAGGTGGTGGTGGAAGGGTGTCTCTACCAGTGCTCATCGATCTTCCTCGCGTCGGGGTATTGTTTGCGGATGCTACAGTGGGCGTTGAATTGCTAGAAGTATTGCTTGGAGGAGCAGGCGGTGGTTGCGACGGTCGCGATCTACCACCTCTGCTTGGAGTACTTTGCCCACCAGGACTCTGATACGTTTCGCTGCCAGCTTGTCCTTGGCTCGTGCCATAGTGCGACCCGTACAAATTGTCCTCGTAACCCTGAGCCACGTAATTCGCTGCCCTATATATTTCAACAAATCAAACATAAATTTGATTTTCCTTCAATTATCTATTACGATATCTCCATTACATACAAACATAGACATGTACAAACCTATAATGATCAGACGAAGGTGGACTGTAAAGGTGTTGTTCCTCGGGCGGATAACTTCGCCTAAGTTCGATGCTGTTTGGCCTGGGTGGTCGTGACTCGGTCATCACCATTCCCAGCAACGATTCATCCGGTATATTGTGAGGTGTCCTATACTGTACACCTTGCGTTGGCATAATGTACTCGCCGTGGCCAACAGCTAACTGTCTCTGCCTTTCTCTCGTATTATGCGGTTGCCTTATACGTTTCTTATGTCTGCCACCGCCACCACCACCACCCTCGTTCCGAGGCCTATGTGGCTACACGGTAAAAGATTTTTTGTTAAATTGCTATCTCTATTCCGGAACAATAAAAAAAAAGTGCAAAACCAAACGTAACTTCATCAACAAAAATGACTCGATGGCTAATCGTTATTTCATTCATTTTCTTGTACGCGTTTTCACAACGTCAGTCTTTTTTGTTTAAAACTTTGGAGAAACCGAGTCAGCCATCGAACATGAAAATTTGCGGGAAATAAAAATAACAGTTCGAAACGTGTCGTTTAATTTGTCTACCTTCACGGAAATATTAATTCTATTTCCCGCAATGTGTATGATCGAAACAAAATAATCCTGAAATTCGGAGATCATGAGGCGTCGTATCGATACTTATTGCAAGATGGCTCGGTGAATGATGATGAAGAGACTTCTATAGAGTACATCCAAAAAGTTGCATGACTGGCACAGAACTGGCATTACAACGTGATTGACAAAATGTGATATGGTAGTGAAACAAACTATATATGATTTTGAAAACAATTCGTTTTACAAAAATGCGAGTGTCGGTTAAGGATCTTCTCTGCTTAGATCGAATGTCCTCTTAAAATCAATAAATTTACGATAAAACCCAGTAGAACCAGATTCAGTGTAAATATTGTCACTATCTTAATCCATGCCTGAAGACAAAACGTTTTTGAGTCGTAGATCTGAAATGCGTGTGTAATTGTGTTTTAAATGTAAAATACAACTGCATCCATTCGATCTACGCAATGAAATTCTTTGCCAAGAACGAACATTGAAGAATGTGATGCCATTGGCTAATCCTAGCGACTTAAACTACAAACTTTCAAAGCGAGCATCTATCAGCGCAATCTCTATCAGCGCAAGAAGGTCAGTTAATGAAAAACCACAAAGAAGTGAGCTTGATTATATGAGTGAGTGGTTGGCGATCGATAAGTTCGTTAAGAAACTGGGTAAAGGGTAATAAAAATCTACAAAGATCCAAACCATCGACTTGCCTCTCTGAACGGTTCGGCATATTCAGACTCGGTCTATAACGAAGGGGACATTTTGAATCGTTAGAATTGTACGTATAATAATATTAGAAAAGTACTATTGTATCGTGTTATTATTGCGCACCTCGATAGTGTCGTAGCTAATTGTGTAAGTATGTATGTATGTATTTCATTATTACTCTCAATACATATAAAAAGAACAACGTAATTTTATAACAACAGTTTTATCTTCTATATCTAACAAAAAAAAAGGAAAAAAAGTCGAGGTGCATTTACCGTAAATATAAAAGAAAGGAAGGTGATTCTTACCTTTTTCCCTCGATCGTGCAATTTCTTTTCGGTATCCTTGAGCATCTCCTGACTCCATAGATCGAAGAAATAATTTGGATCCGTATAAAACTTCAGTCCATCTTTACCGTCTTCCCTGTAGTAGTAGAAAAATTATTTGAGTTTCATTTCAAATATTTCCCTTCTTCAATTGCATATAAAAAGACATGTAACTATGATATGAATACTAGTATGAGTAGAATTACCTGTAAACATTAAGTTTATCAAGGGGAGGTGGTGTGTCGCACTGATGATAAGTTTCCAACATCGCCGTTGGCATGGTGTCCCTAGAAACGACTTGTTGGTCGAACACCACTGAACTCTTAAACGCTTTCCTCATGTGTATATCTTGCAGTGAGACTAAAATAATATAAACCATAGAGATTATTCCGTACCATAGAGCATACAATTTTTCAACTAGCGTTAAGCGTCGATCGACTGTATTACATGGCTTTCATAACTTTATCATTTTACTAAACTTCTTAAACTGCGAATTAACGAACCTTCTTCAACGTTACTGTCAAGCTGAGTAACTTTAACGGCGAGCCGATCTATCCTAGCTTGTAAGGAGTTAGCCCTGTCGCTCAGTCCGTGTGCCTCCCTCGCGAGCTCGCCGAACAAATCCTCGGCGTGCCTGGACAGGCTGGACAATTGCCTGATGGTGTTCGCCAATGTGCCATTTGTAACAGCCTCCAACTCTGAGGGTAACGGAAAGTTGTCAGGAATGGTACCGCGTGCGACTAGCACCGGTTCCACCAGTCGTTTAGGAAGCGGCATCTTCACGCCGAACGCCTGCTGCCTTTCCTCCGAAGATCACTCACCGCCTTCGCGAGATCTGCGAAAACAATAGATATCGTTCAATTAGAAGTCTCGATCAACTCAACACTTTAATTCTTCTGCAGAGCGACTAATTGAATGGAGATTGTTACTTCTTTTATACTAGTCGAGATTAAAGAAAACTTGGTACTACTCATAGATGCTGAGATTTTACATCATGATAGAAAGTAATAATAATAATAGCGAGTTGGCTGAGGGAAATATCTCTGAAACATATCTCGATAGGTAGAGATTAACAACCGCTAACGGGATGAACATTCGATCCATCTAGGAACGTCGCGTCGGTGTAATCCATCTGCATAGATTTTGTTTGATTTGATCTTTTCATCTCGCGAAGTGAGACACGGAATCGACGTATCCGCCGTATCCCCACGACGAAACGTGCTACAATTAATTGAAACGCGAGTCAATCGAAACTTCAGCCGTTATGGAATCCATTCACCGAAACGTTTGCGGAACTGCAGCCGAGATAACTTCGCGGAAAAATTACGGGCAGAGTCGTTAACTTCGTGAGAGAAAATATTACTCACCGAAACAATGCGAAAATGTTGGATATGTAATTTAAAAAATCCTTTTCTGTTTTCTTTTTTTTTTAGTGCGGATGACCGTGTACAAGCTGGTCGTTACAAATGATTGAGCGAGACATTTATCATGTTGGATGAGTAATAGAATTGTTATTGCAGGAAGTTGTTCCTACTCCCACGAAACGTATTTCTCTTCGCTATCGTGAAGTGTCCCTCCATTGAAAAATACACAGACATTTAACAAACAGTTAAACGTTTGTATTGCATGGTGAATTATGCTTTGGATAGAGTTAAATATAACTGATTTAATTCAGTAGGATAATGAATTAAGTAGATATGCAATGCATTTCCGTTTAATGTATAATATTATAGTACGCGCGGATTAGATTAATATAGCCATAATTTGATGTTCCATAGCTCACATATTATGCACGTCGTTGATCAGCTTTCCAAATGGTGTCGAATTATATTCAGTTACATTCAGCGAAGCTAATTTATTCCACAAAACTCATGATCGGTTTTACTATGACACGTGAGTGGAAATAATAGAAAACGACCCACGCGGTACTAATAACTAAACTCGCTGATCTTATCAGTGATCTGGGTAATCGCAGAGAGCATGAATATTTCCTTCCTTTCGCAGGATCAAATATTTAAATAATTATTGCGCGTACTTAGTAAAAACAATATCAGATTTCAAGAAGTAGCTTCCTTCAGATTAATAGATTTATTTCTATCTATCTATTATTTATTGTATTAATATCTATCCTAATAAGAAAATCTTAAGTTTAATTAGTACGTAATGGTATTTACAAAAAGTCATATGTATTCCTTAACGTTAAGATCTCGACGGTGCAGTTATACTTCCTGCTGAACGAATTTTAACGAGTGCAAAGACTGCAGCTTCGCCTTGACTCTTTTCTTTCCCTCGCGTTCCCCCTTTTCACGATCCTATTGGCCCCGATTAACTTGCCCCGGTTGTTGCCTCTTATCGTTCTCGCTGCAACTCTCTCAGGGTCAACACGCGACGATAATTAGGCGGCTCAGGATTGCTCGTGCGAAGGGGGTGCGCAACCCTAAGCATACGAAGATCGGTGAGAAACTCTTTGTACAAACAACACGTTGCCCTACATGTGAGTGCACAGCGAATACTGAGATCTGTGAGATGCATATACGCACTACGTACTCCCTTCTTTTTCCTTTCCCTCAGTAAGGAGCTAACGGAAAACACGCTTATCAGTTAGAAAAATGTTCCATCGTATATGCGCTATTTCCGTGTAAGATAAATAGACGAGAAATCGCTTCAAAGAAATGCTCTTATTACTCGGTGCTGAATTATTTCTTCTTATGATACTTCTTACGCAACACAAGCATAATGTAAAGAACGAGGGAGAATGAGATGAAGTATATAGGAGTGAAGATTTTCTTATCTCCTTTTTTCATTGATTACGATGATCGTTACTTTAACGTTATTTTATTAATACGCATGAACGATGTAATGAAAGGAAATCATTAAGCACTTGTTGATTCTCGGACCAAATCAATCAAGTAGATACATTAACCGATACAGTCGTCAAAGCTACCATTATTACTTTATACACTAATACGCATGAAGTAATAATAGTGAGTGATATGTTTTTCCCAAATAAATTATCGGTAAATAAATCATTTGCTTTGTACATAATGAGAAAAAAGGATTTTATGCATTGCGATTATATACATAATAAAAAGCTCGCAATTTATGTACGTCCAAAGAAATTTTTCACGAAATACTAACAAGAACAGAAGAAAAATCAAAATTATGAATGGGAATCGAATTATGTGGCTGTAAATTCTTGGCCACGATCCCGCGTTAATTCTCCCAGGTGAAGTTATCAGTTTGCAGGGGGGACAGGGTACATTTAATTAAGGACGCTACAGAGAAGCTCGGAGCTTTATTCAGTCCCTCGTTAAAAGTCCCCGTGACTCTTTGTATCACTTATGAGTGTGTAACTGAATAAAAGCCCCGGGTGGCACCTGTAGGGTCGACCGGAACCCTTCTTCTGCTTTCCGATCCCTTTGTTTTTAGAGGTCGTTGCTCGGATACGTTAGATGGAATACTCTAACATCGAAGTTGCTTTAACGACATTCCCGTTGCCCTAGCGCTAAGGTCTGCTGCTTATCAGATCATCGTTTTAATTCAACACGAACAAGCCGCATGCCGCTTTGTAATTTACGATTGGAATAAAAGAAATCTGATTAAATGAAATATATAGAGGAAATATTAAAGTATCACACACTTTTTGACTTGAACTAACAGGTCAAAGTAATCATGGCATGGTTGCTAAGTTTTATAAAATCTTACGACAAAAGTCGTGTCGAAATTTAGCTTATATCATACAATTGTATGTCTTAAGTTCCATGAAGAAATAGAAAGTCGCTGGCAATGACTTTTTCCATTCACGATTTGCATTAAGTATATGTATCTGCATTTCCTGTCTTTTGATATGCGCAGAATATAACATGATACGAAAAGAATATAAAATTATTATTATATGATTTCTTGGATACACCAAACAGATTCCACTATACATACTTTTTCTTTTACAGCTCTTGAGGTGGACATGTGTCTGCAAGAAGATAATTTTTATCGTTTCACCTAGTATATTACCAAGCGTACATTATAATTACGTTGGATAGAAACCAGTTCCTACTCCGCCTTATCTGTTTTTCACGAGCCAGATTAATCTCATAACTTTAACGTACATCGATCTATCCACCCACTCGAAGCCACACTCTCGCAGCGTGCACGCTAAATCATACGTTTCCCTGATTTACATCTTAAGAGTTTCATCCTAACTTGACCGTGTAACAATCATTTCATGTCTACACTGCGATCGGCATTCTATTAGCTATGTAAATATAAGTATTTTCACCGTTAATGTATATTTGTATTAGCTACCAGAAAAAGTATGTGCGGATGCTAAGAACAAAATTTAAACACGCGTGTCTTTTTGGAAACATGATTCCATTCAATAAAGTTTTATATGCTTATGCATTCTTTTAAAATTTCAGAATTCTGCTTTCAAGAAATGAAGTAATGACAAGATTCAATTCCTTTTTCGAACTTCTTAGATCGTCAAACACATCTTGAAGCATTTGTTGTTGTATTTCCAAGCTTATTACTCGTAAAGAGTAGAAGTTTGAATTATCAATTTTTCGATGTACCGATTTTCATAGCATGTAAGGATTATTACGAATATTATAAACAGCCAATATTTCTCATGGTCGATTCGTTCTCACCTAAGCTCGTGCTGAATCGGTAAATCCCTACTTGGCGTCGAATGCGTGGGAGCGGCGTATAAAACGCAGATACCCCAGGCTGGAAAGTTGAAGGGAGTTTAGACCTAGGTGACTCATGTTACGCTCGTACGATCTAGCGTAACCCGTTCCGCTCGTATCATTGCCCCATTGTGTTCCTGATTTTAGTTCAAAGAAGGATACCATTTTCTAACGATACGGTCGTCTAGCATTGTACAAATCTCCGTGATGATGTGAATTAGAGGATAAAATTACGTGATAAGAAGACGATGCACATTATGGGATGAAATAAAATAGAATTTGTGAAATAAAAACGATTCATATTTTTGGAAGTGGCAATAAGAGAATTTTCTTAGAAGATTTATTAATTAACAGATTACTTCGTAATAGTGCACTGAAAATATTTACAATCTATTCAAAAGTCTACATGAAACATTTGATGTAAGAGTGTTAACTCTTCTTATTAGTCATAGTGAGAGGAATCCATCCATTGAAGAAGCGATGATTGAAGCTTTAAGCCATTTCTAGTGATTGCCTTGAGTAAGACGAGCAACATTCATTCATTTAAAGGTCACTATGTATTATGGTGAAGCTACTATGCACATTTTGCTGTTGCTAAGTTCTTTGGTCACAGTATTAACTCGAATGAACTAATTTCTCCTTGCTCTAACTGGTTCCCTTTTATAAGAATACTTCGTGCATCAAGGAGAGATTACTAAAGAGTGGCAATCTTATGGGATTTCGTGTTGCACAAAAACATCTGCAATTTTTGACGTCCTCTAAAATATATTGCCACCGAAATAAGGAATAGAAAGCAAAACACTCGCCCGTGCTCAATTGACCGTATAATTTTACATGTCGTCATTGACTCATTGTTACATTACCGACGACATTTATCATTGACATAAATTATTGAAATACAGTTCAACATACAACTTAAGTTACAGAGAATTTTTATTCTGTCATAGCAGGTTCTAGGTTTTTGATAAATAGAAAGATCGTACATTAAAAGAGAATTATGATACTATTATAAATCAGGATAAAAATAATACAAATTGTTCTTAAGGGTATAAAGTTCAAATTCTCACGGACATAGATAGTAAGCAGTCATTCTACTAAAATGCGTAGTAGTACTGTTGCATCATTATGTACTCAACTTATCTTTGATATTAAT